CGATCTTTGAGTTAGATATGGATCAGATAGGTGCTACTTTGCATGCCTTGTATGCCGACGCTTCTAGTGTTGCTGGATCTTATTACCCTGTGTACTCTAGCTTTGGTGTAGCACCCTTGTGTAGCTTAGCCTCCCCTTCTGCGTCAGGCGTAGGACTGCCTAGTTTGCCTAGCCTCGTTCCTGCACCGGCCTCGTTCCCGGCCTCTGCTACTACCTCGCTGTCCTTCACTCTCGACTCCGGTGCTTCTGCCTGTTTCTTCCGCGACCGCTCCACGCTCACGCCGCTTGCCGCGCCTACTGTTGTCGCTCTCGCTGACCCCTCTGTGGGTCCTGTCGTCGCTCGCAGCTCCACTTCCCTTCCCTGTCCAGCCGTTCCCTCGGGCTCCCTTACAGGCCTCCACGTTCCCTCGTTCTCCAGGAACCTGGTTGGTGTTGGCTGTCTTCAGGACCTCGGCGTCACCACTACGTTCCCTGGGCACGAGCGGTTCACTGTCTGTACCGAGACTGTCTCAGGTTCCCCCCTTGCGACGTTCCCCCGAGACCCGTTGTCCGGCCTGTTTACCCTCGACACCGCCTCCTCCCCGATTGGTGCGTCCTCCCAGGTCGATGTAGCTTGCTCGTGTCGGTCCCTCACTCACCCGTCCCTTTTGTGGCACCACCGCTTTAGTCACCCTACTCTCCCGCGTCTGAGTCACATGTCCCAGCACGGTCTTGTCTTAGGCCTCCCCGCGTCGCTCCCCGCCCTCCCCCCCTCGACTGCTCCACCGTGCACGCCTTGCGTCGAGGGCCGGCTCCGCCGTGCCCCTCACTCCTCCTCGCTTCGCCCTGCTAGTGCTCCCCTTCAGACCCTGCACCTGGACGTTTGGGGCCATGCCCCCGTCCTCGGACCGCGTGGTGAGCGCTACTTTCTTGTGCTCGTTGATGACTACACGCGCTACACCACGGTGTTTCCCCTGGAGCGGAAGGCTGACGTGCCCGACGTTCTTCTCCCGTGGGTTGTGGCTGCGCGTCTTCACCGTGTTCTCCCCGTGTTGTGTCTCCACTCTGACCGTGGCGGCAAGTTTGCCTCTGGTCGGCTTGGCTAGTTTTGTCGTGAGAAGGGCATCACCCAGTCGTACACCTTGCCAGACTCGCCACAGCAGAATGGGGTTGCTGAGTGCCGCATCGGCTTGGTCATGGAGGTTGCTCGTACCTCCATGATTCATATCGATGCCCCCCATTTTCAGTGGCCGTTCGCTGTTCGCTACGCTGCTCACCAGCTTAACTTGTGGCCACGCTCCCAGCGGCCGCAGGTTTCGCCGACCATTTTTTGGACCGGGTTCCCCGGTGACGCGTCTGCGTTCCACGTCTGGGGTTGCCTTGCTCACGTTCGTGCCTCTGGCACGGACAAGCTCACCGCCCGCACTGTCCCCTGTGTCTTCCTCGGTTTCCCCCTAGACTCGTCTAACTGGCTCTTCTACCACCTGCCGTCTCACCGCTTCCTTCACTCTCGTGACGTCACCTTTGACGAGTCTGTCTCCTTCTACCGACGCTTCCCTCACCGAGGTCTCCCGGTTCCCCCCCCCCTCTTCCTAGCTCCCTCCCCCTCAGTAGCCCCTGCTCCCCTCCCGCCTCATCCTGCCCCGTCTGGTGTCTTGCATGTCACTCCCCTCCCATCGATTGTCCCCGTTGAGGAGCCTGCTGACTCTGGTGGTCCCCCCGGCCTGTCCTTGCCGCGTCTCCCTTCCCCGGTGTCTCTGCTTCCGCTTTCGCAGTCGCCGCCGCCGCCGCCGTCGTCGCTGCCGCTCTTGGCCTCTGGGGGTGCTGGCGTTGAGGAGAGTGTTTGTCCTACGGTTCCTGGCGTGGTCTATCCCGGCAAGCCTGGGGGTGCCGCTGGTGCTGGAGGGGGTTCTCGCTCAGGGGGTGTTGGTTCTCGGGGTGCTGCCGTTGAGTGTTCTCCCCGCGGTCATCGTGCCCCTGCCGGTCCGCGGGTCGAGACCCAGCCGTCGCAGCAGCCACAGCAGTCGTCGCCGCCAGTCTCCTCTCTTTGCCTGCTCGGCCTTCCCTCCCTTGACCACTCGCCAATGTCTCACCCACCACCTTCTCACCTCCCTATCTACGGCCCTGTGTTCCCGCCCCCGGACTCTTCTCCGGCCCGTCTTCCTCCTCATTCCCCTTTTGTGTCCCCTCCGCAGTCTCCTGACCCTACACCTCCGTCCCACGTTTGGTCTCGGCGTCCCTCACATGCTCATCCCGTCTCCCCTGTCTTGCGCTCCCACCCTATGTTGCTCCATTCTCACTCGTCTCGTCCTCCCCTCCTCCCCTCGCCTCCTCCCTCTTCGCTTGTTGTTGCACCTCCCCCATTGTGTGACTACCTCCATGCCGCTCGTCCCCTTGTCCCCCGGGTCCTTGCCTCTCTTGTTACAGACCTGTCTGTTCCTGTCTCGCGCCTTGACGCGCTTGTCGCTGCTGTCGCTGACTTCGCCTCTACCCCCCGCCTTGACTACGCTACCGCTCTGGTCTCTGACCCTGCACGTCCTCCGTCCGTCAGGGGTGCACCTTCCCTTGGCAGTGACGGTCTAGAGGACAGGCAGTACGAGCTTGCTTTCCTTTCCGAGGCCGCTCCCCATCTGTGCTCCATGCTCCTAGTCCCAGAGGGTGACCCAGACGCCTTCGACATCCTGACCCCTCGCACCTAGGCTGAGGCCACCTCGAGACCCTGGGCCTCTCAGTGGATAGCTTCCACGGAGCAGGAGATGGCATCTTGGAGGTCCACCGGCACTTACGTCGACGCAGTTCCCCCTCCTGGGGTGAACGTAATCGATGGTCGGTGGCTCTTCAAGGTGAAGCGTCCCCCTGGAGAGCCGCCTGTCTTCAAGGCGCGCTACGTGGCTAGAGGCTTCAGCCAGCGCGAGGGGGTGGACTTCTTCCAGACCTTCGCCCCGACCCCGAAGATGACTACTCTTCGGGCACTGCTACATATAGCAGCACAGCGCGACTACGAGCTTCACTCCCTTGACTTCTCTACTGCCTTTCTTCACGGCAGCCTACACGAGCAGGTCTACCTGCGCCGACCACAGGGCTTCACTGGTCCCTTCCCCCTTGGGACTTAGTGGCTTCTCAGGCGCCCGGTCTACGACCTGCGCCAGGCTCCCCGCGAGTGGCACGACATGCTGCGTGCCACGCTAGCAGACCTGCAGTTCTTTCCGTCCTCTGCTAACCCCTCACTTTTTGTGCGTTCCGGCCAGACTCTGTTCTACATCCTTGTCTACGTAAACGACCTGGTCTTCGCTACTGCTGACAGGGACGCACTGGCCTCCGTGAAGGCAGAGCTGCTAAAGAGACACACCTGCATTGACCTTGGAGAGCTGCATTGTTATCTTGGCCTGCAGATCTCCAGGGACATAGCAGCATGCACCATCACTCTGACACAGTCACACTTGGTGCGTCAGGTCCTTCAGAGGTTCGGTCTTCAGTTCTCCTTTGCACAGCCCACACCTCTACCTGTAGACCATGGGCTCTCCGCTCCCGTTCCTAAGGAGCCAGTAGAGCCCTGCGGCCCCTACGCAGAGCTGGTGGGTTGCCTCATGTACCTAATGACTTGCACTCGTCCAGATCTCGCATACCCTCTCAGCATCCTTGCTCGCTTTGTGGCCACCGGCAGACACCGACCACAGCACTGGTCGGCCGCTAAGAGGGTTTTGCGATATCTAGCAAGTACATCGGCCATGGGGTTAGTGCTTGGAGGACGTAGGCCAATGGTTCTCACTGGGCACACAGACGCTTATTGGGCAGACGACTCTGAGACTCTTAGGTCGTCTCAGGGCTAGTATTTTAGCCTTTGTTCGGGTGCTATCTCTTGGAGATCCACTCGCTCGCCGTCTGTTGCTCAGTCTTGCTGTGAGGCTGAGATCTACGCCGGTGCCATGGCGGCACAGGAGCTCCGCTGGCTTACGTTCTTGCTCACAGACTTAGGTGAGCGGCCCAGCTCTGCCCTGGTCCTGTACGCTGACAACAGGGCCATGATTCTCCTGTCTCATGAGCCTCGGCTTGAGGGCAGAGCGAAGCATATCCAGTTGCGTTACTTCCTCCTACGCGAGCTACAGCAGCGTCGCCAGGCCCGCGTAGTTCACTTGGCCTCCGGTGCCAACACAGCTGATATGTTTACAAAGGCGCTTGCGCCTAAAGATCATCAGCGGCACTTTGTGCAGCTTGGTCTTGTTCCTGTAGCTACTCACTTGTTAGGACCCTGATTGTGTACTCTCTACTATATATATATGTCTGACTGGCCTTGTGGCCTTGCCTCCAGTGGCTGGACTAGTAGTGCCGCCCTGGTTTGCTTTAGTCTTGTTTGTACTCTTGCTGACTGGTCTCCGGACCCCTGCCTCAGTGGTTGGACTAGTAGTGCCACCCTGAGCTGTGTGCTTCTTGCTTAGCACCACCCCTTCTCTAGCCTAGCAGGTGTGTCAACTTATACATATGCTATATGTAGAAGTTATAGGCTAGCCTTTGTGTGTGCTTCTAGTGAGTACAATCCCAACAGGTATATGTTCTAGGTTTCTCACACTAGTTATCATTCTTGCATTCTAACACAAGGTCCCCATTTTGTAATTTTGTGTATGCGACATCCAACGATTTTTAGTTTGGGAATACTTTACGTAGTTATCTTGAACTACGCCTGCAGCTTGGGAAAAATATCGCGCCTGTCGCAATGATGACGAAATTGTGCTGGCGCGAGCGGGAAAACGTTCAAAGACGAGCGGGGGTTACTTCTACTGACCATTTGTGGAACTTTTTTCGTGTTGTTTCTGACTAACGGTGTGGAGCCCGAGTGATGAAACATGTTGAGAACTAGCTAATTCTGATTGTTTATATTGTGTCACTGACCGTACATGTTATCGAGGCCCCTAATATTGAGCGCCGAAATACTTTCCCAAGTTTGAAGCCTGGTTTGTTGGCCCTCTGGTGCCAGCTTTCATCCTCGAGTCGTCTTTCCGAGGCGCACCTCTCTCTAAACTGGTGGAAAGGTAGCGCCAGGGGTTTTCAACAGCTACCAAAATCCGAGAGGCTCGATTGCCTCGTTGGAAGTAGGCGGGCGGGCTTATTGGAGTCGGTAACCAATTCGTGCAACTAAGCGAAGCACTGCTTGGCTTTTACCCTTTCTCTGAGTTTCCTTCTCTAAAAGCTCTTCTGTCTGAGCTCACACCGTAGAACATCCTTCATGGGCCCCACATGCACGTCAACAAGTTCTTAGACGAATGTGCCTTTCCGTTAGCTGTACCACTTCTTGTTCCTTCTAGTCAAGACCGATGGCCATAGGCTCGTCACGGCACGGATATGCGTCCAGATCCGCGGCGCACGGCAAGGGGTCGTCTTTAATTACCTGGGTAATTAAATGGCTCCCTCTAGTTCTCCTACTATGGATACTACTCGCGTGGACAGCGCCGCAGCACATCCTCTCACACATGTTCGGTGTAACCTACGCCACGCCGGCTTCTATCGCGTACGCGGAAGCCGAGTCAGCGGCGGGGGCGGCGGCAATCGCGGAGGAGGATGGCGGCAGTGGCGACGACATGGGGAAGTACGCGAGAGCGGGCGACGGCGGCCGGGGCCTAGAGGAAGGGACAGCGGAGGGCGGCGGGGGTCCCTTGGACGACGAGGGTCCATTGGAGTTGCCGCTCCGAGTGTACCTGTATCCGCTTCCTGCCGCCTTCAACTTCGCCATGCTCCAGGCAAGTCCCCGCATTCCCCCGCGTCCCCCCGTGTTCCCCCGTGTTCCCCCGCGTTCTCCGCATTCCCCATATTCCCCGCATTCCCCGCATTTCCCCGCAATCCCCGCATTCCGCGCGATCCCCGCCTTTTTCGCCTCCCCCGCGTCCGCCGCCCTCCCCGCCTTCCCCACCTTGGGCTGTTGGCGCTCTCCTTGCCAACCCTCTCACCATGCCGAATCCCGGCCCTCGTTCCCCCACATTTTGTTAAGAGTCGACTCACAACGAAACTACCTTCACACGGCCCTCGTTCCCCCACATTTCCCCCCCACTTTCCTCATGTTTCGCGCCCCATATTCCTCTCGCCCCTTCCGCTTCCGTTTTCTCTGCCGTGTGCGGACAAGACAAATGCAAAAGACGCGGTGAACGGAATGAACACTGTGCGATCAGCCCGAGACGGAAATGCTGCACGAAACGAACGATGCCCTTTTGTCACGCCTCCTAATCACTGGGTTAAAAGGGCATGTTTTTTGTGTGGTGGGTTGCGCACCCATTACGCCCCCCGGACGAACCAGTACCTCTCCCACACTCTACTGCGGGTCGGGCCGATCCCCGTGCCCCACCCCCACCAGAACTATTCTCATGTCACACATCTTTTCACATGTCCTATTTTCACATCTCCTACTTTCACACCTGTTATCTGCACACCGCTTGATTCCTCGTCACAAGCAAGACCCTGCCGTCACTCCTCCGCACCCTTTTCTTGCTCTGCTGTCGCCTTCCTTGTACTTGGTCCCACCCTTATTGATTCTCTTGCTACCATCGCTTCCCATCCCTGTTTGTTCACCTCCCCTGTACTCTCTTCCCTCCCGCACCCTCGCCCCATCTGCCTGCTCGTCCTTCCATCTGCACCCTCCACGAACCGTTAGGCAGAGCGCATGCTCACTCTGTGAAGGCGTTTGACGTCCTCTAAAGTACTGTACTCCCCTCCTGCCCCCCTCTCCCACCCATGTGATTGCTCCAGGAGCCGCTAGGCGGAGCGCATACTCACCCTGTGACGTTTGACGTCCTCTAAAGTACTGTACTCCCCTCACTGCATCCACTTCCACCCACGCGCCCGCCCGCCCGCCCTGCAGGCGCAGTGGAACGTGGGGTGCCGTCTGGACATACTCGCCCAGCACGGCGTGCCCCCCTCCTGGAACTTCAACGCCTCCTCCTCCTCCTCCTCCTCCTCTACCTCCTCTCTCGCCACGTCAGCAGACGGCGATGCTGACGGGGACGGAGATGACTCCCTAGACCAAGCTGCCACCGCCACTGTAGGGGTAGCGGGAGGAGGGGAAGAAGGTGGTGTTGGCGGTATCGGTGGTGGTGCGAAGGACATGCATCTGCCGTTGCTAGAGGACACGGACGAGCTGGCGAGGGCGTCGGGATGGTCGTCTGAGGCGGTGGCAGTGCAGGTGCCGTGCTACCACAACTTCCCCTACTACTGGCAGCACAGCGTCGAGTACTACCTCACGCTCTCGCTGCTCTTCGGTGCGTGGGCAGGGCGGTGGGAGGGCAGGGCAGGGAGGGTCAGGGCGTGGGGTGTTAGGGGGGTGCGTGAGGGGGTGAAGGGTGGGGGAGTGAAAGCGAAGGTCACGAAAGGCAAGCACGGGTGAATTGGAGGTGTCTAATCATACCAGCCGTCCCCGTGCCTTCCAACCCCCCCGTCTCCCTGCTCTCTGCCTGCCTCCCTGCCTACCTGCCTGCCTACCTGCCTACCTGCCTGCCTACCTGCCTACCTGCCTGCCTACCTGACTGCCTGCCTGCCTGCCTGCCTGCCTGCCTGCCTGCCTGCCCGCCCGCCCGCCCGCCTGCCTGTGCTCCTCAGGGTCGGAGGCGGTAGTGCGCGTGGAGGAGCCGTCTCACGCGGACATCGTGTTCCTGCCTTACTTCTCCACGCTCGCCTTCCGACTCAAGGCCAAGTGAGCACCTCTGTGCACAGGGGGACCGAGGGGGAAAGGGGGGAGAAGACGAGGGGGAAAGGTGGGGGAAGACGAGGGGGAAAGGTGGGGGAAGACGAGGGGGAAAGGTGGGGGAAGACGAGGGGGAAAGGTGGGGGAAGACGAGGGGGAAAGGGGGGGAAAGGGGGATAAGCAGGGAGTGCGGAGGGAGGGATGTGCTGATGGGGAGAGGAGCTGTAGTGGGAAAGGGAAGGGTTTACGCGATGCTCCACCAGTGAATCATGCTCCCCTCTCCCCCTCTGCACCTCACCCCTCTCCTCACCTCCCTTCACTCCTCGCTCCACACCCCTTCCCTTCCCCTCCCGCTTCCCCCCCTGTCCCCTTCCAATTTCTCCCCTCATCAAGCCCCCTCTCCTCCCGTTCCCCCCATGCCCCCCTCTCTACCCCACAGCGCGCCCCTGAACGCGCGGCTGCTGCCTGTCATCCCGCGCTTGGCCACGCACCCACTGTTGGTGCCAGCCGTGTACCCGGTGACCTTTGCCAACCATTCGCGCGCCATGCAGCCCGTCAGGAAGATGGCTGTCGACCTTGACATGTACCCACCCATGGTGCGTCTGCCTGTGCCCACTCTCTGACTAAACCCTACAAGAATCCCAAACCCGAAACCTCAGGAACCCCAAACGCCATGCAGCCCAAACGCCATGCAGCGTGTCAGGAAGATGGCTGTGGACCTCGACATGTACCCAACCATGGTGCGTCTGGTCCCACTCTCCAGCAAACCCGAAACCGTGCACCCGCTTGCCAGTAGCCCCTAAACCCGCATGCTATGCAGGTGGGCCCCAAGCGCCATGCAGCCCGTCAGGAAGATGGCCGTGAACCTCGACATGTGCCCTCCCACGGTGCAGCCCCTCTTCAGGCGCCTAAAATTGGGCGCCCACTCTGCATTGAAGCCTGAACCGTAAACTCTGGACTTGATTTTTAGAACCCTTGGAACCTCAAACGACGTGCAGCCCTTCAGGAGGAAGGTGGTGGTGGTGGTGGTGGTGGTGGTGTGGGACGCCAACGTGCACCCAGCACCCAGCCAGCCACGGTGTGGTGCGTTTGATGTGCACCCACCTTGTAATAGGAAACCCGAAACCTGAACATTTCCAACCTATACCACACTCCAATAGCATCCTCCAAGGTGACTCTTTTGCCAGCCCCCGCCCCCCCTTCTCCCCTCTCCCCCCTACCCTTCCCCCTCCCCGTTTTCCCTCCCCCCCCCCCCACTCTTTTTCCTGCCCCATCCCCAGGACGTGGTGGCGCCATATGCTGAAGTTTTTTTTATATTCTAAAAAATGACGTGATGGCACCGTATGCTGCCTTTTTTTGAGAATTCTAAAAAATGACGCGGTGGCATCGTATGCTGCCCTGGTGCCCGCATACTCCAGAAGAAGCCTTCTTTGCCCACTCAAAGCCACCCCCCCCCGCCCTCTTTCCCCCTCTTTCCAGGACGCGGACCCGCTGATAGACGTGGTGGTGCCGTATGCAGCCCTGGTGCCCGCGTACTCCGATGATCCAGGGGCGTGGCACCAGCGGCCCACGCTGCTCTACTTCCGCGGCAACAAGTGGCGCGCTCAATCTACTGAGGTGAGGGGGAGAGAGGCAGGGGGGGAAAGAAGGAGCGAGGGTGGGAAGGGCTGAGGGAGGGAGAGAGGGAGCGAGCGATGGTGAGGGTGAGTGAGTGAGTGAGTGCATGTTTGCTGCTTTGAGTGGGTGCATCTCAAATGGAACCTCTCCCCTCTCCCCTCTCCCCTCTCCCCTCTCCCCTCTCCCCTCTCCCCTCTCCCCTCTCCCCTCCCCCGCCTCCTCGCCACCCTCCTCCTCTCACCCCAGCCAGCCCCAGCCAGTGCGCAGGGTGCTGGCGAGGGTGCTGCTGGGGGGGCAGTGAGTTTGAGAGTTCTAAAAAACACCCGGCACAATCATGCCTGAGGGTGCCCCTCCCTCCCCCCCTCCATCCCGAACCCCTCTCCCTCCCCACCCCCTACTTCCCCCCCTCCCCCCTTCCCTTACCACTACCCCACTCCCCCTGTCCCCTCTAGGGCCAGCCAGTCCGCTGGGCGCCGACTGAGGTGCCGGCCGAGCAGAGGGGTGTGGTGGTGCCTCATGCGTCACTGAACCACTCTTACCCTTCCTTTCACCCTCCCTCCCCCTCTGTCACCCCCACGGTGAGCCAGTGTGCGGGGTGTTGGCAATTGTGCTGGCAGGGCAGAGGGGCGTAGTGATTGTTGTTGTGCCTTACACTTGGCAAGCCCTCTCCTCCCTCTCCTCTCCATCCTGAACCCCTCTCCCCTCCCCCCCCCCCCCTCCTCCTCCCCCTTCTCCCCTCTCCACTTCTGACTTCCCCTCTCCCCCCCCCCCAGGGCCAGCCGGTGCGCATGGCACTAGCGGAGGTGCTGGCAGGGCAGCGAGGCGTGGTGATTGTTGTTGTGCCTTACACTTCGCAAGCCCTCTCCTCCCTCTCCGCTCCATCCTGTACCCATCTCCTTTCCCCCCCAGGGCCAGCCAGTGCGCAGGGCACTAGCAGAGGTGCTGGCAGGGCAGCGGGGCGTGGTGTTTGAGGCGGCTCTGGCGTATGACGAGGACAACATCATGGGGGCCGCGGGGGGGCTCCGACGAGCCAAGTACTGCCTCTCGCCCGAAGGTGAGGGAGGGGCTAGGGTAAAGGGAGGAGAAGGAATGGGGAGTTGGGGGTTTACTGGGACTGCGGGCAGAGGGGGGCGTGGGTTTTGAGTATGACGAGGACAACATCAAGGGGGCCGTAGGGGGGGCTTAGGAGAGCCAAGTACTGCCTGTCGCCCGGAGGTGAGGGAGGGGCTAGGGTAAAGAGAGGAGAGGGAATGGAGTGATGTGGAGTTGGGGGGGTTGGGGAAAGGGGGGAAAGGGGATGGAGGGTGTAGAAAGAGGGTGTAAAACGTGCAAGGGTTTGTGAGGTTGTGGCACTGCGAGATGAGTTGGTTCTCAGAGTCCACAGCGAGGTTGTCCACCTCTGCCACACAGATGGTGCAAGTCCGAGAGTCTGTGCCTCTCGTGGTGATGGTCGATGGCATCTGACATAGCCTAGACTGTCCCCTTGGTGGTGGTGTCAGGCGCCATCGACCGGCCCTTAAGGGGCCGCATCAACTACTCCGCCTTTTGGTTCTCAACCCCATGCCCACACACTGCTGGTAGTCCCTTCTGCCTCATCCCATTCCCCACTCCTACACTCACCCCGTCACCCTCTCTCCAATCCCCCTTCTCTCACCCCCTCTCCTTGACCCCCCCACCTCCTCCCTCCCCCCCCGCACCGCCGCCCCCCAGGCGACACTTCGTCGAGCTGTCGGCTGTTCGACAGCATCCTATCGGGGTGCGTGCCTGTGGTGGTGTCGGACGCCATCGACCTGCCCTTTGAGGACCGCATCGACTACTCCACCTTCGCCCTCTTTGTGCCCACCGCCCTCGCTGTCCGCCCGGGGCACCTGCTGGAGCTGCTGAGGGGGCAGAGCCGCACGCAGTGGCAGCTGCGCTGGGCCAACATGCGCCGGGTGAGCGGAGGGAGCGAGGGAGAAAATGGGGGGACAGAGGAGGGACAGAGGGCGGAGAGAGGAGGTAGAGAGATGGGAGAGAGGTGAGAGAGAGATAGGAGAGAGGTGGGAGAGAGGGAGGAGCGAGGGGGGAGGTAAGGGGGAAGGAGGGAGGAGGAGGTGGTGGTAAGATGCGGTGCGGGGTGGTGAGGGGTGGGTAGGATGGGTGGGACTGTTGAGATGTGAGGAAGGGTTGAATGAGTGCAGGGGAATTGAGCGTGTTGTGGGGGAGGTTTGGAAGTGGAGGAAAGGGCTAGATCAGGGCAGGTGTGGCTCAATGCTTAGCCTACACTTCCTTGTTTGGGCAGCCTTCCTATCCCTTCACTTCCTCACCACTCATTCTCTACCATCCTGTTCCTACCCGTCTGGAGCCCGGTATTCCCCCCACCCTCCACAAACCCTCTTCCCCCTCTCCCCTCACTCTTCTCCCCCCCACACTCCCCCCCTCCCCCCCTTCAGCTGCGGAAGCACTTCGAGTTCTCATCGCCTCCTGAGTCCGGGGGAGCGGAGGACACGGTGTGGCGGGCGGTGTCGAGGAGAATGCGCGGCAGCACGGCGAGCGCGGGGGCGCAACGCAACCGGCGGCAGCGCCTGAGACTGCTGCTGCGGCAACTGGCGCATTACGGACTGAATGCCTCGCACCTGCAGCAGCCCGTGCACGTGCGCCCGCCCGTGCACCTCTAGTAGTAGGATCTGAGCAATCCCCTATGTAAACCACAGCTAGAGAGGCTGAAGCTGCTTCTGCAGTGGGGTGGATGGCATGGCACACAATGGGCGCACATGCAGCAGCCCTTGCACGTGCGTGCCGCTAACCCCCGTGCACCTTTAGCGGGTAGTTCATTCCAAGGTCGATCAGAGATAATCTGCACGAAAGAGGCCGAGGCTGCTGCTGCTGCTGCAGCTGGCGTAGCATGGGTGGCACACTACGGGCCTGCACCTGTGCACGTGCGGGCGCCTGAACACTTTCAGTAGTTTGTAAATCGGAGAGAAACTGCTTCATAAGAAAATGTGATGATGTAGGGAGCTTGAATGCTTCTACATTCGCATATACCCAGAGGCATTCAGATTGATAGCTCAATGTATGAAAAAGCCGTGTGAGCACATAAGATCTGAGGCGTCCCAAATAATCCAAATTTCTATAAGTGATCGTGCTAATATCGTATCTTTTAGTAAAAGAAGGTAGTCTTTAAGACAAAAGATGAGCTCAGTTGTGTGGCTATGCACCAAAGCGAAATCATCTGTAGAGTAGATTGCAGTCAGACAGATTGATCAGACCAACCACAGTCCGTGCCCTTTATTCTCCCTCCCTTCCCCGTCTTCCTCACGACACTCGGATTCCGTAACCCCACTTCGTCACGCCCTTCGCAACCCTCAAGCCCGAGCCGCATTTGCGACCACAGAATGGGTTCACTCGCACATATACATTTAGGCCCAGCCATTCGCAGAGCACAATTCAGCTCATCCCTTTCCTTGCCCCTGAATCCATCAAGCTCCATCACCTTCTCGCTCGACACAGCCGCAGCAGTTGCCAATAGTAGATTACACGCACCCAGTATCTAGTATCTTCCAAGCGGTCTGTTGCATGGGGAATATACGGGTCAGCTTCCTTCCGATGGTTCTCCTCACGCTCAGGGAGTCCACGAATTCCGACGTGGTCTGGCCAGCAAAGCCACCCAGTTGAGCGACGATGCAGTCTCCTGGAAGGCTGGTTCACCTGATGTTAGAGCGCCTCAAGGTGGCTTCAAGCCCAACACGAGGATTTCAGAGCCCTTCGTTTCCAGCAAGCGCTCTGCCACCCGTGCGAATCACGAGAATGTTCATGGTGCAGTCGCTTCTCGCGCAACCAAACGCGAATCTGGAAACCACCAGCCGGGCAACCATCGGTCTGGCCAAGCGCAGGGTCGCACGTGTTGGTGGGGCACTGGGATCGTCCTAGTTGAGTGTGGGAGGGCTACAGGTAATGGGTGCGCTACCCACCACCAACAGCACGCGCACCAACGAGTTGGCAGCAGCCCACGGGAGTTCCCGTGGCGCAATCCGCATCGCCAGCAGCAGCGACGTGGCGATTCGTCATCACAATTCTCCGCGTGGCGGCGGCTCTGGCGGCTCTGGAGTGGGCGGCGTTCCGCGCGGAGCCCACGTGATGCCGACGCGTCACGGAGCACAGCAGCCCGCCGCTATCAGCGCTTCCCACGACAGAAACCAGAAAAGCAACGCCGCGAAGCACGGGGATGCAATCAAGCCGTCGTACTGGGGTGAATTCCCCTGGAATAATCTGTTCCAGAATGAAGACGGCGGGGATGGTCACAAGGACAAGAATGGCGCGCGGCAGCACGGCGCGGCGGGGTTTCACAAGGCATCGGCTGAAGACGTGGTGCTTCGCAGGAGAAACGGCGATGGTGCAGCAGCCTCGCTGCCAAAGAGCAGCGCGAATCACAGTGAGGACCGCGTCGCCCGCTCTTCTGGGACTGCTGAGGAGTTTAGCTGTGTCGACGCTGGTGCGGGCGATGGGAAGGACTCCGTCGCTGGTGATTGCGATGGCAACGGGGATGGAAGCAATGGCGGTGGTGACACGGGCAACGGTGGTATCGACGCGGGCAGCGGCGGTGGCGGTGGCGGTGGCGGCGGGATGGACATTGGGGCGATCCTGGAGGAGCACAACAGGGCGCGGCAGGAGGTGGGGGTGGCGGACCTGGCGTGGGACGACGGGGTGGCAGCGGCAGCGGCGGAGTGGGCCAACAACCTGGGCTCCAGGGGGTGCCCTCTGGAGCACGGAGGGGCGGAGGGGCTCGGGCAGAACCTGTACTGGCGCGCACCCACGGGACTGACCCCTGAGGAGGATCGCATGGCGGTGCAGTCGTGGGTGGCGGAGAAGGCGGACTGGACGTACAGCCCCGTGCCCGAGGGGTGTGCGGACGGCAGGATGTGCGGGCACTACACGCAGGTGGTGTGGCGCGACACCACGCACGTGGGCTGCGCCTCCGCGCAGTGCCCTGATGGGAGCAGCATGTGGGTGTGCGACTACTCGCCCCCGGGGAACTTCATTGGCTCCATTCCGTTCTAGGGAGGCTGGTTGTGGACTGTGGGTGTGATGTGAAAGGACCTCTTCTCCTGCACTGAACTTCGTTGGTCCACTGCATGCTAGGGAGGCTTCTCTGGTGGAGAGCGGTGTTGGTTGAAGGAGGTTACCATGAGTGCTGCAGTTGTGCATTGCTGAAAAGCAAATGGTTCGCCCTTTGAGAATGTTCAAGGGAAATAGCTTATGGTTTGGAGGCTGGTTTGCTTGTATGGAATGTTTTCTGTTGCAGACTACCTAGTTATACGGTAGTACTGGGCAAGAACCTGGTGTGATGTCGAAATATTGACCCCATGCAAATGTTGATACAGTAAGATCACCACAAACCAGTACTAAGACAAATACCCTACTCACTTTACCCTGAATACAGACAAGGTAAGGGCTACCACAAATCAGCGCAAGCGTTCGCCTATGGGAGCAGTGGCTACAAGAAGGAATTCCGTCCGCCCAAGTAGAGTAGAGTAGACCCAATAAATGGATTGCACTGTCTGACACCTCAGCTCTGACAGGCGTAGCTTCAGGTGCAAACAGGAGCAGGGAACAACTGGAGCAAAGCATCGGACAGGCCCAAAATAAAAAACATCAGACTCCATCGATGCTTCCTTCCACCTCATGGCCACAACCACCCTCATCCTCGTCGGCCTCCTCATGCGCACTCTCCCCCAGGGCCCCTTCTTCCGCCCCAGGTGCCACCCTCCACATGGAGCACGTGTGTATGGGAACCCACCCCACCCCACCCATCTGATCTAAGGCATCTGCCAACACCATGCACCCAAACTTGATGCACGGTGTTCCACACGAAGCGGGGCCTTGGATTTGTGCAGCAGGTGTGGGAGAAGTGCACGGGGAAAGGGTGAAGAGCGAAGGGAAAGGGTGAAGAGCGAAGGCAGGATAGCGGGGGGAGAAGAAGAGAGGAGGGAGGAGAAGTGAAGTGATATCAGCAGGAGGAGAAGAGGTGCATAGAGATTACGGTTGGAATGAGGCGAACTATCCATGTAACTCCTCAGCTCGTTCCCTTCTCTCTTGCACATTTCTGTCTCCCCTTCGTCCCCTCATACCAGAACGTTCTGTATCCATATAACCCCCCATCAGCTTCCCTCCAATTAACCATCCCCTGAACCCCTCCTCTCCTCCCCTCCTCTATCACTCCTCTTCACTCCTCTTCTCCCCCCCCCCCCCTTTCCTTTCCCTCCCCCACACCTCCCACCTTGGCAGCCGTAACCTCATTCTCCTGGTCCCTGAGCGAGCAAGGGGAATGCAGTAGCTGCCCTCCCTCGCTTGTGCTCCCGCAGCGGCCAGCAGCAGCAGCAGCACCTGCCTGGGGTGTGTGTGGGAGATGGCGGTCGTAGGAGCGGGGCACATCTACCAGCACCTGGTTTCGGGTTTAGGGTGGGAGAGGCAGCACAAGGGGGAAGTACCTGGTGGGAGTGCGGCACATGGGAGTGCATGTGCGCCACAGTTAAGTGGTGCAGGCAACACATGCCTTGCTGGCCATGCCGCATCTCACCTTGTCTAACACTGCTCGCTCATTCCATCCTGTGCCGCCCGCCCCCACCAATCGCACCCCACACACCTCCACCACACACACCCACCGAGGGGGTGTACCCCCCGCAGCACCTGCTGTGGCAGGGGAATGAGACCCACAGGGGTGGCATTCCAGAGGCACCCAACCCCTCCACCCACTACGCACACCGAGGGGATGTTCTCCGGCAGCATCTGCTGGGACGGTGGGGGGACTAGGGGGATGCAACGCAAACAGGTCAATGCTCCTTAAGGCGTGAGCGCAAGAAAGGGAGGGGCATTGCACCCTGACTGCCAAAGCCTAGACTGGCCTGACAAGCCTATACCTCTCATCCCAACGGCCCTCTCTACAAGGCCAAACTGGGTGAATACCGAATGAGTTCCATTCAAGCTGCCTTGGCTCACCGCGTAGCACCCACATCCCGCCCACCTAACTACCTGCTGACCCCTTCCGCCATGATCCTCTTACCCCGGAAATGACAACCAAGAACAGTAAGGAACTGGCACCAGGACTAGGGAATCAACGGGACCTCCTCATGACACCTGTCGCAATCTCATTCGCCGCGGCGTCGAGAGCTCATTAGCCACCAGATATCCATCCAACTCCCACGTCACACCGCTCCCTCTAACCCCCTACCCCCTTCGGCCTCCCTCTCTGCCCCCGCCATCCCGAGCGCGCATCCGCGCCATGCTTTGCGCCATGCACAGCGATTTCCCCCCTGTCACGGCGCACAGGTCCAGCTCGCGCTCCCTCGGCCGTGCATCTACCGCTTTCGCCGCCGCCACTGACACCGCGACCAACAGACAGTGCGTGGCCACTCCGCGGAAGCCCTTCAGGGCCGGCGGGAACCGACCGTACTGCGAAGCGGAAGCGGCGGGGGCGTCGGCGGCAGCGGACAGTGCGGAGGGGGAAAAAGGGGAACGCGCGGAGATTGAGGGGATTTCTGGTGGAAATGGGAGAGTCACGAGGAGGAAGGGCGAGGCGGGGAAGAGAGAGGAAGCTCACGCGCACGGCCGGCAGTAGCGCGGGGAGCAGCCGCGCCCACTGCTGAGCACAACACTGTTCCGCGCAGGTGGCGGAGAGCGAGCGGAGAACCGCGGCGTTGCGCAACTCCGCCCGCTGATTATTCTCCGCCGCTTTCTGCTTAATGCGGGATACCGTCTGCTGCTGCTGCTGATTCTCCCTCCCGCCTTCCCCCCCTCCCCCCTTCTCGCGCGCCCTTGCTGCTGCTGTCGGAAGTGTCAATATCGCGACCAGGAGTAGGCGCCATAGTCAGAACCCAGATCCATATTCCCCGTGTCTCCTTTCCCCTCACCGTTCCCATCTTTCCCTCGCGCCGAAGTAACTTAACGAACCCTTCGCCGTCGTTCTTCGCCGCTGTTCGCGGCGACGGCGCCGCCGCCTCCCCGCCGTTCAGGTTCGGCGCGCTCAACGCCAGTGCTGCTGCCTCCGGCGCTTCCGCGCCCGCCACCCCGCGTCCAGGCAATAGCGCGGGGTCCCGGTTCACCGGCAAAGATGCGCGGAGAAGGACTACGGTGCAGAGAAGCGAAGAGCGGAAAGAGAGAAGCGGGAGGCGAGAAACTAGAGACCGCGCGGCGCCGTCTAGAACGGCTGCGGTAGAGAGTGAACACGGAAATGCAGAAACAGGCTCGGTATGACAGTACGACGGCTACACGGTACGACGGTAGCAACGAACGACGATCGGTATGAAATGCAGTACGCGAGCACCAGGGCATGGAGCAAGGATGGGTGCAAGCAATCGGGCGGGAAAAGAGTATGGACGGGCAAGGTGAGTGGCGGAAGGACGATGTCACGTTTCCGACACATATGAACCATCAATTTGGAAATGAAATTTGGACCCCCCTTTTAGCCTAATGTGTTTGAACACATTCGTGTAAGCAGTTGCCGCTTATCGAAGATTCACAAGCGCGTACATGGTTCGCGCCACACATTCCGCGCCTCGCCTGAACTTGCCCGTGATTGCAAGCGTGTGTCACTTTCCCCAACAACCTTGGAGTTGCCTCGCAGCCTTTCCTTTCCTTCCATCCCAACGGGCACAGCGCACCCAGCGCAAACCAAAAACCCCTCCCTCGAGGTTTTGGCATGCTTACTGCTCCAGTGTTTCACTGTAAAATGCAGAGCAAGCAGCCCCAGCCAAGTCAGTTGGACGAGTGACGAGACGACGAGTCCGTTGCGTACCGCTCTGCCTTCTCTGCTTGTGCCGTGCGCGACTGACCATCACCACCATATTACCCTAAGCGGCAGCTGCCCCTGCTAATTCCCTCCTCCCCGCCATCTATGTCAGCCGCCTCCTCGTGTTTCCTTGGGTGGTACGTGTACCGTACTCGACAGTACACATAGCGTTACCCCTGCGGACTGTATTATCTTCGCGTGTCTTGAAAGCCGCCTTAAACGGCGACATCAGTAATCTATGCCAACTGTCTGCAAGCCCCTCGTCGTCGCGCCCACGGCTCCCCTAACCGCCTCCGCCATAGCGCGCGCGCTCACTCCGCGGATCCTCCCCACGCGGACCGCCGCCACCACCACTGCCGCCGCCGTTACCGCGCTTGTGCCCGCATCCCTTAATCTAACCCACTTATTGCTTTCCACATCATCCCACTTCGCTTCAAAGGCTGATTACACGTTCCAGCACCTTTCGTTGTTCCAACCCGGGTCGCGTCAACCCCGATCGCATCGTGTGCGCGCGGCAGTGACTGCGGCGATCACTCACCCGCCGCATTCCTCTACCCCTTCCGCAGCCATGGTTCCGCCGACCATTGTTACCGACGCTGATCCCCATGGAGGTGTCAGCGGCCTATCGACGGAAGCTCCCTCGACCGCGCCGCCACAGTCGGCGAAGCTCGAAGCGATGCTCGTGGACGAAACCCACGGTGCGAGCCCCGAAACCTCCGCGCCCTTTAAGAAACAGCGCATCGCTGGCTCCACCTCCGCCTCCGATGCGCCAGCTGTTACCGCCGATGACTCTTCCGCCGATCCCCCTGCGCCCGCTGCGACATCCGCCGCAACAACAGCCGTCGCCGCTGCAGCTGTGAGCGCACCAGCCAACGCACCGCCCTCCCTACCTGCCGCCCTCCCCGCGTACGTTCCACCGCCGCACGCGGAGGCGGCGTGGGCGCACTTCCGGCGGCTGGGGTCTCCGCGGCTGCTGGTTGCGCCGATGGTGGACCAGTCGGAGCTGCCGTTCCGCCGGCTGTGCGCCAAGTACGGCGCGCAGGGCGCGTACACCCCCATGTTCCACAGCCGGCTGTTCGTGGAGGACCACAAGTATCGGCGCGAATTCACCACGTGCGCGGTGCGAGCGGGGGCGGGGGGGGGAGGAGAGGCGGGGGGGGGGGGGGGGGAAGAGGGGAGAGCGGGGGGGAGCTGGGGCGGAGTGCGGGGGGGAGAGTGGGAGAGGGACTGGGAGAGAGAGGGATAGGGAGGAAGAGGGATGGAAGTGGGAGGGGTTGAGACTGGGAGGGATGGGAGGAGAGAACGGGCAGGCGAAGGAGAGGGAGTAGAAGAGTGAGAAGGGGGGGGAGAACAGAACAGAAGGGAATATTTCAAAGCGGAATGCCCTGTACGTCCTCAAGGCTCAAGGAATAACGTATTTTCTTAAACCCGCGCTCTTCTCTCCCCACATGTTTGGCAATCTGTCCATGGCAGGAGGACCGGCCTCTCTTCGTGCAGTTTTGCGCCAATAACCCTGACACTCTAGTCAAGGCCGCGTCTCTCGTCGCGGCGGACTGTGACTACATCGACATTAACTTCGGGTAAGGTTATTTGCTATTAACCTTGGGTAAGGATAGCTGCCCCAGCATCGCTATTGATGAACTCGTGAGGTCCCCTACGACTTGTCCTTTCTGTCTTAAAGCCTCACCTCCTCTCGCTCTCTCTCACCTTCAATCTCCCTCTCCTCCTCCCTCTCCTCTCTCCACTCCTCTCCCCTCTCCTCTTCCCGCTTCTCCTCCCAAGCTGTCTCCCCTCTCCCTCCCCCCTCCCCCATTGTACTTCCCCCCTCTCATCTCAACCCCACCTACCCCCACCCCGACCGCCCCTCCCTTCCCCCCCCCCCCCCCCTCCCTCCCCGCCCCGCAGCTGCCCGCAGCGCATCGCGCGTCGTGGTCGCTACGGCGCGTTCCTCATGGACGACCTGCCCCTGATCGAGTCGCTCGTCTCCGCGCTATCCGCCGCGCGCCTCCCCGCACCCGTTTCCTGCAAGATCCGCATCTTCCCAGACCTCGCGCGCACCATCGCGTACGCGCGCATGCTGGAGGCCGCGGGGTGCTACCTGCTCGCCGTGCACGGGCGCACGCGCGAGCAGAAGGACGGGAAAAAGGTGCGCGCGGACTGGGAGATGATCCGGCGGGTGAAGGAAGCGGTGTCCATTCCGGTGATCGCGAATGGGAATATAAGGGATTTGAGCGATGTGCTGCAGTGCTTGGAGGCGACCGGGGCGGATGGGGTGCTGAGCGCTGAGAGCTTGCTGGAAAACCCGGCGCTTTTTGGGGGGTATCGGGTGGATGATGGGGGGGAGGGAGGGGAGGAAGGGGGGGAGGATGATGGGGAGGAGGGGAGGAGAGTGGAGAGTGAAGCGCACGCAGCAGCGGCAGAAGCAGCGGAGGCGGCAGATTCGGCAACAGCAGCAGCAGCAGCAGCAGCAGCAGCAACAGAACTGGCAGCAAGGATTACAACGGAAGCAGCAGCGGAGGTGCAACGCCTGGAAGCAGCATCAGCAGCGTCCGGTGCAGCAAGCAGCAAGGGGCGTCTGACCATCGACCGGATCACCCTAGCAGAGGAGTACCTAGCTCTGTGTGACTCCCATCCCGTGCCCATGCGCATGGTTAGGAGCCACCTGCACCGCATGCTGGGGCCTGTGTTCTCACGGCACCCGCACGTTAGAGAGAAGCTCAATAAGGAGTACAAACTGACCGTGCCGTGGCTGCAGGAGCTGGTGGGGCAGCTGAAGGCGTGTGAGAGAGGGGAAGTGGGGGAGGTGGTAGCAGCAGGAGAAGGGGGAGCAGCAGCAGCAGTTGCTGCAGAGGCGAATGGTGTAAGCAGTGATGCTGCTGCCGCGGGTGGTGTTGCTGGTGATTACAATAATGGTGCTGCTGCTGCTGGTGCTCCTGTTACTGGTGCTGCAGTTACAGGAATGGCAGAGGCGGACGAAGGGGGGCCAGTTGGGGACGGGAGGCAGGCGGTGGCCGTGGCAGGGCTTTAAGTGACATAGCACAAGTTTAAGTTGAAGTTTCGTCCTCAACTGGAGTGGGGGTGGTTGGTGTTAGGCATGGTGCTGATAAGGAATTCCATACAGGGTTCTCAAGGAACAGCTGTCAGCTGATGAGTGGAGAGAAGTCTAGCTGTGTCACATCTTGTTGGGTGTACTCTAATGTACTAAGGTACTAAGTATCTCGCCGCATAAAATACATTCTACAACCCCTTCTGAAGTCCAGACCTTTTTGTGCAAACAAAATGTACCACACCGAGGAGAAATTATGGGCATGATGTACGGTACTTGTTAGAATGCAAGAATAGCTTAGCTAGGAAGCAGGGTCCTCAGCAGACAAAATCCGTCTGCTTGTCTTATTTCAGACGTGATTTTTCGGTTTCTTCTGACTTTTCAGACGTCCAAAAATAGATATTCTGATCTGATGCCTTAGAAATTGAATTTTAGTACTTCTGATTTTCCAGGAACTATGTGCTTGTTCTTCTTACGTTTCAGACTTAGCGATTCTGCTCGTCTGCGAGCGGTTGCTGTATACGGCCCTCCTCTAGGCTGTGTGAGGGGCTAATTCGCCCTTCACAAAAAATTCCTGCTTGCTTCGTGTTCTAGGTTGTGTGAGGGGCATGATTGTGTCAAACATAGCTTATGCAGTTCGTGTAGACTATATATGATTGTTGTCAACTTATACATGTGTTGTATGTAAAAGTTACAGGCTAGCCTAGGTGTGTGCTTCTAGTGAGTACAACCCCAGCCGGTATATGTTCTAGGCTTCTCTTCCTAGTGATCATTATCATATTCTAACATGGTATCGAGTAGGTTAGGTCCACCCGCCCGCTTCCGCCCGCGCCCTAGCCTCTCGCCCCTCCCCTACCTACCTAGCGCCCTCCTGGCCCCCGTCGCGCCCTTCAGGCCCCGTACGGCCCTCCTGGCACCCGTCGCGCCCTCCACGCCTCGTAGCGCCCTCCTGGCCCCCGTCGCGCCCTCCAGGCCCCGTAGCGCCCTCCTGGCCCCCTGTCGCGCCCTCCAAGCCTCGTAGCGCCCGCCTGGCTCCGCCGCGCCCGCCTGGCCCTGTTGCGCCCGCCTGGCCCCGTCGCGCCCACCTGGCCCCGTCGCGCTCGCGTGGCCCCGTCGCGCCTGCCTGGCCCCGCCGCGCTCGCCTGGCCTCGTCGCGCCCGCCTGGCCCCGTCGCGCCCTCCTGGCCCTGTCGCGCCCGCCTGGCCTCGTCGCGCCTGCCTGGCCCCGCTGCGCCCGCCTGGCCCTGTCGCGCATGCCTGGCCCCGTTGCGCCCGCCTGGCCCCGTCTCGCATGCCTGGCCCCGTTGCGCCCATCTGGCCCCGTCGCGCCTGCCTGGAACCGTCGCGCCTGCCTGTCCCCGCCGCGCCTGTCTGGCCCCGTCGCGCCCGCCTAGCCCCCCCCCCCGCGCTCGCCTGGCCCTCCAGCGCCCCGCTGGGCCCCACCGCGCCCGCCTGGCCTGGTGCGCGCGCCGGCCCTTCCTAGCTGGCCCGGCCCCCTTCCTAGTGCCGCCCTGCCCTTTCGTGCCCGCCAGGCTCCTAGAGCCCGCCCGGCCCCTCCTCCTCCCTGCTCGGCTTGCCGTGCCACCTCGGGCCCTGTCTCCTCTGCTCGTCCGCCCTGAGGCACCTCGCGGCCCCCCTGCTGGAGAGTGCTGCCGCCCTGTCCCCGCGCCGTTGTGTTCCTGTGGAGCTGTGCTGGTGTGTCGCAGTGGAGCTGTGTCGCTGACCCTCCACGATGGCTGACTTCGTGCTCCGACTTGACGCTGAGGGCCACGCGGTTGACTTCGCCGCCTGGCTCTCCGATCTCCGCCGCCACCTTACAGGTCAGCGCCAGGATGGCCACTCTTTGGTTGTCCATGTCGATGGCTTGCTCCCCCGCCCCACTGCCCCTGCTCCCCTCCCTGCTGATCCCTCCTCTGATGACCGTGAGGCCTTCTCTACTGCTGCGCTTGCCTGTGCGGTCTGGGACTCCCGCGATGTAGTAGCTCAGGCTGCCATTAGTGACGCCCTCCCTGTGTCTGAGCGCTCGCGTTTTGCTACGATTGATACGGCCAAAGCTTATTTAGACGTCGTTATTGTTCGCTATTCTACACTTGCGTCCGCTTCTGCCGGCCGCTTGCTCTTCCCGATGCTGTTCCCAGACCTTGCTGCCTTCCCTACTATTGCAGGCTTTTCCACTCACTTGCGTGCCCTAGAGACCCGCTATCGCACTGCCAGCACTGCTGCCCAGCTCACTGCGCTCCCCCCCCCTTTCTGCATGACGCTCTATTTTATCGCCGTGCGCCTGCCGGACCGCCTAACTAGTGCTCGCGACCACTTCCTTAGCCAGCACCTAGGTGACCTCACTCTGACCGCCTTTGTCGACACCCTCACCGAGATCGAGACTCGCCAGCGCACTATCGCTCAGTCGAGCGGTGCGCCGGCAGTCTCTATCTTTCACGGCTGTGCCCCCTCCAAGTGCACGTTTACTGACGTTCCGGCTGCGGTCGCCACTGCGACCCCTCTTACCGAGATGGCTGCTGCGGTCCACCCGCAGCAGCGCCCGCGCCGCACTGGCCGTGGCCGCCAGGGCGGTCGTGGTGGTGGAGCTGGTGGTAGTGGTATTGGTGGTGGTGACGGTAGTCCGCCTGATGGGACTACCATCGGTGGGCAGGAGCAGACGCAGTCGCCTCCGTAGCAGGAGTAGCCCCAGCAGCAGCCGCCGTCACAGCAGTAGCCGCCGCAGCCGTGGGCTCGTCTCCCGCCTGGTTGGCCCGGTACCTCCGGAGGCGGTGGCCGTGGTGGCGGCCCGCGCAGCTTGGCGTCTACCGGCAGCTCCGTTGGTGTGACCTGCCAGTACCAGCTTCAGACCGGGCCTCTCCGCGGTGCTCTGTGCCGCCGCCCGCACCCGACTGCCCGCTGTTTCCGTCGCCTCGACGATCTCTTTCGCCGTCGCTTTGGCCCGGCCCCGGACCTCCCCGACTGGCACAGCCTGCTCCGCTAGGGCGTGCCCATCTTTGAGTTAGACATGGATCAGATAGGTGCTGCTTTGCATGCCTTGTATTCTGACGCTTCTAGTGTTGCTGGATCTTATTACCCTGTGTACTCTAGTTTAAGTGTAGCACCCTTGTGTAGCCTTGCCTCCCCTGCTGCGTCAGGCGTAGGACTGCCTAGTTTGCCTAGCCTCATTTCTGCACCGGCTTCGTTCCCGGCCTCCGCTACTGCCTCGCTGTCCTTCACTCTCGACTCCGGTGCTCCTGCCTGTTTCTTCCGCGACCGCTCCATGCTCACGCGGCTTGCCGCGCCTGCTGTTGTTGCTCTTGCTGACCCCTCTGCGCGTCATGTCGTCGCTCGCAGCTCCACTTCCCTTCCCTGTCCAGCCGTTCCCTCGGGCTCTCGTACAAGCCTCCACGTTCCCTCGTTCTCCAGGAACCTGGTTGGTGTCGACTATCTTCAAGACCTCGGCATCACCACCACGTTCCCCGGGCACGAGCTGTCTGTTCTGAGGCTATCTCAGGTTCCCCCCTTGCGACGTTCCCCCGGGACCCGGTATCCGGTCTGTTTACCCTCGACACCGCTTCCCCCCCGGTTGGTGCGTCCTCCCACGTCGCTGCTGCTTGCTCGTGTCGGTCCCTCACTCACCTGTCCCTTCTGTGGCACCACCGCTAAGGTCACCCTGCTCTCCCGCGTCTGCGTCACATGTCTCACCAAGGTCTTGTCTTAGGCCTCCCTGCGTCGCTCCCTGCCCTTCCCCCCTCGACTGCGCCACCGTGCACGCCTTGCGTCAAGGGCCGTCTCCGCCGTGCTCCTCAGTCCTCCTCGCTTCGCCCTGCTACTGTCCCCCTTCAAACCCTGCACCTGCGCCTGCTCGGCCTTCCCTCCCTTGACCACTCGCCGGTGTCTCCCCCGCCACCTCCTCACCTCCCTGTCTACGGCCCTGTGTTCCCACCGTCGGACTCGTCTCCGGCCCGTCTTCCTCCTCATTCCCATCTTGTGTCCCCTCCGCTGTCTCCTGACCCTACCCCTCTGTCCCACGTTTGGTCTCGCCGTCCCTCACGTGCTCGTCCCGTCTCTCCTGTCCTGCGCTCCCACCCTATGTTGCTCCGTTCCCACTCGTCTCGTCCTCCCCTCCTCCCGTCACCTCCTCCCTCGTCGCTTGTTCTTGCACCTCCCCCGCTGTCTCACTACCTCCGTGCCGCTCGTCCCCTTGTCACTCGGGTCCTTGCCTCTCTTGTTACAGACCTGTCTGTTCCTGTCTCGCGCCTTGACGCGCTTGTCGCTGCTGTCGCTGACTTCGCCTCTACCCGCCGCCTTGACTACGCCACCGCTCTGGTCTCTGACCCTACCCGTCCTCCGTCCGTCGGGGGTGCACCTGCCCTTGGCAGTGACTTTCTAGAGGACCGGCAGTACGAGCTTGCTTTCCTTTCCGAGGCCGCTCCCCATCTGTGCTCCATGCTCCTAGTCCCAGAGGGTGACCTAGACGCCTTCGACATCCCGACCCCTCGAACCTACGCCGAGGCCACCTCGGGACCCTGGGCCTCTTAGTGGATAGCTGCCATGGAGCAGGAGATGGCATCTTCGAGGTCCACCGGCACTTACGTCGACGTAGTTCCCCCTCCTGGGGTGAACGTAGTCGATGTTCGGTGGCTCTTCAAGGTGAAGCGCCCCCCGGGAGAGCCGCCTGTCTTCAAGGCGCGCTACGTGGCTGGAGGCTTCAGCCAGCGTGAGGGGGTGGACTTCTTCCAGACCTTCGCTCCGACCCCGAAGATGACTACTCTTCGGGCACTGCTACACATAGCAGCACAGCGCGACTACGAGCTTCACTCCCTCGACTTCTCTACTCCCTTTCTTCACGGAAGCCTACACGAGCAGGTCTACCTGCGCCGACCACTGGGCTTCACTGGTACCTTCCCCCCTGGGACCCAGTGGCTTCGTAGGCGCCTAGTCTACGGCCTGCGCCAGGCTCCCCGCGAGTGGCACGACACGCTGCGTGCCACGCTAGCAGACTTGCAGTTCTTTCCGTCCTCAGCTAACCCCTCGCTTTTTGTGCGTTCCGGCCAGACTCCGTTCTACATCCTTGTCTACGTAGACGACCTGGTCTGCGCTACTGCCGACAGGGACGCACTGGCCTCCGTGAAGGCCGAGCTGCTGAAGAGACACACCTGCTGTGAGAGTACGACTCCGTTACACCACTTGGCCTTTTCCATATTTCATCTTCATTTCATTCC